CTTTGGTTCTCAAGACTTTAGAACAAGTAACTGAAATTTTCTCCTCTTCTCATTCTATTAACGATGATGTGTTAAATACATAAAGAAATAAACTGCCAACTACACAACTAAGAAACGTGACTGAGTGGAAGACAATCCCACTAATATAGGAGAGACACAATCACGTTTGGTTCTCATCACATGATGAGGTCGTAGACAAATAATCAAAGCCAGCCAGATAAAAAAGGGGCACTGCTTTGATGTACAACATGCTTGAGCACATATTCACTGTTAGCAAATTTGATAGACAAACCTTCACTTCTAGAACATGTTAACGTAGAGAATATTAACAAATACTCTGAATGATTAACAATTCAAACTGGAGACATTACATTGATTCGTCATGTTACAAAGTACCTTTGCGATTAATTAGTCTTTATTTTCGTAGAAAAGATAATTTTATAATGGCTAAACTTGAAACCTGTTAGCAATAGCATGTGATTCTCCTAAAAGCAAATAATCAAAGAGTAGATATCAGACCACTATCTTGCCTTATTTATTTTGTGTTTCACATGCTTCTTCTAGAATTAGGTAAAATCCTATGAATGATCATCTCCATTTACTTTGAAACTATTTTGATCCAAAAGAAAAATAAAAGTTACATACATTTTAACTGAGCTGCGCCCATATCTCTGTTTCTTCTTCTCAACTCTTTCCTGAAGCGCTTTGAATTCAAGCTATGCATGGCCATCATGTCCCTCAATCTTGGGTGTAGAGAATCACTACAACAAAAACTTGCAAACGGCTAGAGATGAAGAGTATGCAATGAGATATTTAGGTTAGTGAGAATATGAAAAGTAAGACATGACGAATGATTTTGATTTCTTTTGTTATAAGGATCAAACTATTCAAAGACAAGAGATCAAAGTTGAACTTTTTCAAAACCGATTTGGAATTATCGTTATTTGGAAAATTGAAATCTATTGAATTTTTTATTTCTTAGGAGAGGAGACGAAGAGGTGAAGCGGCCATTTGATATTTTTCTCATTTTTTTTTATAAGTAGTTGAGGTGTCAAAATAAGAATTGCTTAGGTGGCAAGACCTTGTGAGAGCAACCCATCTATTATATATAGAATGATTTGTGAAATTGT